CAATCAGGTCATATACTATTGGGATTCATTTTTCTTTGAATTTTTGATATGATACATTTGTAAATCCATGTGGTCTTATTTTTCCCCTTTAGGAATTCATTTAGCAACTTCAGTGTCTTTTTCTGATGTCAATTTATTTAAATAAAATAGCCTTATTATAATCCCTTGTTCTGACAATCTAGGCACTTTATATTTTATAAATATTTAATACATTTCACCTAAGCTCTCAGTTTAGTTAGCATATAATTAAGCAAAATAATTTCTAAGTTTCCTTTTTTCCTCTTAAATTGTTATAAATTCTCTTTTATCATTTTAATACTGTTTAGTTTTTTTAAATGAGAGTGGCTATTTATTTTATTAGTTCATTCAAAAAAATTTCCTACTTTTGTCAGTTCAGTGTTTTACTTCTTTTTTATTTCAATTTTGTTCATCTGTCCTTTCATTTTCATGATTTCTACCATATTTCTACTTTGGTGTTTAGAGTTTTCTGATATTCTTGTTATTCTAGTTGTGTTTTTTTTAGTTTCATTACCAATTAATTGATCTGTTCTTTTTCCTCTTTTACTGATTAATGTGCTTAGAGATAGAAATTATCCCCCAAGGATTATTTAACTTTATCCTAAAAGTTTTGGTGTATTGTATCATTGTTGGAATTTTTTCTAATAGCATTGTCAGTAAAATTGTTTATATGATTTGTTCTTAAAATATCACTTAAATTTTATTATTATTATTAATTTTTATTGATTTATCCTAGTTTTTATTCTTTCTTCCAAGGCCCTTTGCTGAATATAATTTATATTGCATTGTATTCAGTAAAATATATGCTTAATATTTCTTCTTGTCTCCATTTATTTGGGAGGTTTCCTTTGCCCCAAAATTTCCCTAAAATGTATTTTCTAAAGGCCCTCTAAATCTCCTTTGCTAGATCTTCTTCCAGATACCACTAATTGTAGGTGTCCCCCAAGACTCTGTCCTATACCCTTTTTTCTTCTCCATCTGTATTATCTTTGTTGATGATCTCATCAGCTGCCATGGGTTCAGTTATTATCTCTACACAGACAGTTGCCAGATCTATATAACATCTCTCCTGACTGCTAGTCTTATATCATCAACTGTGTCTTGAACATCTACAGTCCCATAAGAATTCTATATGCCAAACTCTATATGCCAAAAACAGAGCTCAATACTTTTCCCTTTAAATGAACCCCCAACCCCAACTTTTCTATTACTTTTCAGTGTGCCACCATCCTCCTAGTCACTGAGGCTCAAATCTCAGCATCATCTCCAACTACTCTCTCACTCACTCCACACAGCCAATCTGTTGTCAGTCTTATTATTTGTACTTTCACAACATCTCTTCTGTATATCCTTTTCTTTCCATTCATACTTGCCACCCTAGTGTAAGCTCTCATCACCTCTTGCTTGTACTGTGCCACTACCCTTCTAGTTAGTCTCCCTGCTGCATGTCTCTCCCCATTCCAATTCATTGACTCCACTACTAAAGTGCAGGTCTAAATATGACATTCAGTAATTCCAGTAGCTCTTTAGCACCTCCAGGATAAAATGTAAAATATTTGTTCTCATTTTAAGCTTTTCAGAACTTTATATTTTCCTATTTTTTAATCTTCTTATGCGAGCCATCTCCAGTCATCCTGATCTATATCTTGCCACTGGACCTAGATGGCTCTGGAGGAGAGAGTGAGGCCAGTGACTTTGCACACACCTGCTTCACTTAAATCCAATTCACTTGCAAGTCAAGACGTCACCTTCCTAATGTCACTGGTCCTCTTAGTCTCCTACATATACATGTACTTTACAATCCAGTAACACTTGCCTTTTTGCTATTACACGTACATGACACTCCATCTCCTGATTCCATGCCTTTTCAGTGGCTGCCCCCCATTCCTGGCATGCTCTCCTTCCACACCTCTGCCTACAGGCACTTCTGGTTTCCTTCAAATGCCACTTTATTTAGGATACCTTTCCCAGTCCTTACCAAACTTTCCCTCTGAGATTACTTTCCATATATATATCTGTATAGATATTCTATGTACTTGGCTGTTTTCATGTAGCTTCCCCTGTTAGAATGTAAATTCCTTAAGGACAGGAGCCATGTTTTGCCTTTCCTTATATAATCATGGCTAACATAGTGCCTAACATATAATAATTACTTAATAAATGCTTGTTGACTGACAGATTCCATATGACAGACCATTCCTAACTTTTCTAAAATTCTTTTCAGTTACTTAAATTCTTTATTATTTTTGTTAAATTTGTCTAGGTCTGAAAAGGGTACATTTGAGTCCCTCACTGTTATGTTTTACTGCCTTTGTCTTTGCAATTTTTAAAACATTTCTTCTAAGTACTTAACTATTAATATTGCTTCATTATCTATAGTGCCTTTAAGCATAATAGGATTTCCCTGTTAACCTCTTTTTACATGTCAATTTTTACTGCTTTCTTATCTAAAATCACTATAGTTACCCATTAATTTTGTAGTCTGCTTGAAGTATTATCAATTTTGGTTTGCTTCCTCACTTTAACTCTGTGTGAAACTTTATGCTTTAAGTGTGTTTCTTGTAAACAACATATTTTTGAAGTATGCTTTCTCATCCATTCTACTATCTTCTAATTTATTGGCGAGTTCATTCCATTCACATTTATAATTATGATCATTAATTATTTCCCTCCAATCTATTTTCTTGTACTTTTTCTTCTCTTCGGCTATCATCCCTTAAGCCTCTGTTTCCCCACAATTTCACCCATTGCCTCTAGAGTAAAATAGTAAGTTCCTTCCCCTTCTTTACAGAGAAGATAGTAAAAGAAAAGGAATTTGCTTAATACTCATGATCTATAGGTGCAGTAATCTGCTTCTATTCTATTGTCTGTCTTATCTTCCCCTTGTCCTTCCTCTGCTCACAGATTTTTGTGTCTTTCCTTCTCCTTTCCTCCCTTCCCCCTTCCCTTTCCCCTACACTTTTCCTATTCTTCTTCTTCCTTCTTCCTTCCTCCTTCCTTCCCTTCCTTCCTTCCCTTCCTTCCTTCCCTTCCTTCTTCCTTCCTTCCCTTCCCTTCCTTCCCTTCCCTTCCCTTCCCTTCCTTTCCTTTCCTTTCCTTTTTTCCTTTCCTTTCCTTTCCTTTCCTTTCCTTTCCTTTCCTTTCCTTTCTTTCCTTTCCTTTCCTTTCCTTCCTTTCCCTTCCTTTCCCTTCCTTTCCCTTCCTTTCCTTCCTTTCCTTTTTCCCTTCCTTTCCTTCCTTTCCCTTCCTTTCCCTTCCTTTCCTTTTCCTTTCCTTCCTTCCTTTCCTTTCCTTTCCTTTCCTTTCCTTTCCTTTCCTTTCCTTTCCTTTCCTTTCCTTTCCTTTCCTTTCCTTTCCTTTCCTTTCCTTTCCTTTCCTTTCCTTTCCTTTCCTTTCCTTTCCTTTCCTTTCCTGTCCTGTCCTGTCTTATCCTATGCTATCCTATCCTATCTTTTTCTTTCCTCATGGCCAATATGGGATTTTGTTTTGCATAATTATACAAGCTATATACAAGATAAATAAGAAATAACTGAAAGAGGGAAAATACTAGAATTAAGAGGGGTTAGGGAAGGCTTCCTGAAGAAGGTGGGATTTTAGCGGACTTAAAGGGAAATCAAGGGGGTCAGTAGTTGGAGAGGAGGAGAAGAGTTTTCCAGTCATGGTGGGCAGCCAGAGAAAATGCCTAGATGTAAGAAATGAAATGATTTGTTCATGGAATAGCAAGGAGGCCAGTGCCACTGGATTGAAGAGTATGTATCAGGGAGTAAGTTACAAGAAGCCTAGAAAGGCTAGGTTATGAAGGGCTTTGAATGCCAAGCAGAGCATTTTGTATTTGCTTAATAGCAAATTGAGGCAATAGGAAGCCACTGGAGTTTATAGATTAGAAAGGGTAATACGACCATTTTATCTTCACAACAAACCTGGGAGATTTTAAATCTGGGACCAGTTTCTCTTGACTCCCAATTTTGCATTTTAAAGTTTCTAATCAGTTCTGGCATTTTGATCAGAAATGCTTGGAAGTTCTTTATTTCATTAAAGGTCCATCTCCCATCCATTCCCTAACCCCCTCCCATACACACATTATATTTAATTTCGTCAAATAAGTTATTCTTGATTGTAAGGCTTTATCTTTTACTTTTTCAATTATCATATTCCAAATTCTTCTTTTCCTTATGATGGCAAATGTCAGCTCTTGTATGATCTTGACTGTTCTAATTTCTTGAACTCTTTCTCTTTAGGTGCTTGCAGTATTTTTTCTTTGACCTAGAAACTCTGGATTTTTGATACGATGTTTTAATTTTGGAGTTTCAGAAAGTGGCAAGTGGATTTTTTTCTATTTTCACTTTGCCTTCTGGTTCTGATAGATCTGGGCAGTTCATCTTTACTATTTCTTGAAATATGATAGCCCAGTTTATTTGTGTTTTAGAGGCAGTAGCATTATGATTATCAAGTAGTTTGATGATTCTTAAATTCTCCTTGGCATGTTTTATAGGTCATTTTTTGTTGGTGGGTATCTTCTATTTTCTTTTCAATATTTTGATTTTTAAATATTGTTTATTATTTCATGGAAGACAGCTAGGTGTCATGATGGATAGAATGCCAGGCCTGGAATCAGGAAGACTCTTCTTTGTGAGTTCAAATCTGGTCTCAGGCACTAATTAGTTGTGTGACCTAAGCAAATCACTTAACTCTCTTTGCCTTAGTTCCTCATCTATAAAATGATCTGGAGAAGGAAATGGCAAACCACTCCAGCATCTCTGCCAAGAAAACCCCAAAAGGTATGATGAAGATTCAGACATAACTGAAATGACTCAACAACAAAGATATTGTTTCATGGAGTTGTTATTTTCTATTTGGCAAATTTTATGGGTAAGGTTCATTGCCATCTTTTCTAAGCTATCAATTCTCATTGTCATTCTTTCTTCCCTAGCTGTTATTTCCTTTATTATTATATTTTGTGTCTCTTCTTTCATTTCTTTCAGTTAATTGTAGTCCCTGTGACCAGGGCATTCTTTTCTCTGAAGCTCTGTTGGATTTGCTGGGGAGTTACTCTTTCCTTCTGGGTTTACCTCTTGGACTTCTCTCAATCCAAGGTAGTTCTTCATTGTGTTATCTACATTAATTCACATCCCCAGCCTCAATTTCTGGATTGGGGACTTTGTGTTTGGACACATTCTGCTCCCTTCCATACTCTTGAATGACATGAGTAGGCCTTGCTTTGTCCCAGATGCAGTCACTAAGACTAGGCACCGCCTTTTATAGGAATTCCTGGGTTTGAGTTCAGTCTTGATTATTCAACTTAAGTTTTGGCCTTAGCTCCTTCTCTGTCTCTTTCTCCTTGCACAATCTCGAACTCAGAGTTGGTTTTATCCCTCGGTATGACCTTGACAGACCTTAGCCAAATATTAATTTTGCCAAAATAAAAAGCAATTGTGCTGGTGGTATGCTTACTGCAAGACCCCAGTTGATTTGCTTCCCAAGGCTGGCTTGGCCCTGTTTCCTAATATTGTTCTCTGGTTGGACAATAGCTGCCTAGGCACTAGGTTGCTCAGTCTGATTGTTTATTCCTGTGGTTCAGAACAGATTTTCTGGGCTCTGGGTTGCATAGAAGTTGCCTGGACACTAAGTCAGTTTGCCTTGATCTCCCCAGCAAATACTTTTCCTTTTATTTAAGTTTGCTTTTTATTTAGTTCTAAAAAGACTGTGCAGTATGATTTGATAAAATAAAGATACCTTCTTTAGAATTAAAAAAGATCCTACAGAATTAAAAAAAATAATGTATTACATTTATAAATATTATTAATTTTCAAATGTATATAGATGGCATTGGAAATAAGATAAATACAGATAAATTTAACCTAGAATCCATAGAAGCTTTTTTATTATATTTTCTCACATAATGATAGAGCATTTTTAAAGTTACCTCCTAGGAGCACTCAAATACTTATTTGGATCTGTGATCTCACTAAAATTACTATTCCCTCCAGTAATGTCAGTTTTTATACATCCTTGCCTACTAATACTTTGCAACTCTTGTTATATATGTAATTCCACTGCAGATACTAGAGCTAATGGTGGAGCTGGTGGAGCTTGAGTTGGGCATTAAAGAATAATTAGGAGTCAGATAAGTATAATGTAGTAGAGAGGACATTATAGATTGGAATAATGATGCCAAAAAGGGCACAAAGATAGACATGGGCATAGTCTAAAATGAAGAGCTAAGATTGGTAAGTCAGGGTAGATTGTTGTGTTGATCAAATTGTCCTCTCAGTTCTGTTCATTTCACTCTGAATCAATTCATAAAAGTCTTTCAACATACCATTCATCATTTCTTACAGTATAATGATATTCCATTACCTTTATATGTGTTTAGCCATTCTCCAATTGATGGACACCTCCTAGTTTCCAGTTTTTGGTTACCACGAAAAGAAATACTATAAATATATTTGTGCATGTGAATCCTTTCCTAATATATTTGCTCTTTTGGGGGTACACTCATAATAGTGATATTGCTGGGTCAAAAGGGAAAACACCAAATTGCTTTCCAAAATGGCTGGAGAGAGGTAGAAAGTTCTAATAAAGCTAACGTTCTTCTGTGCTCACAAAGAAAATTGTTCACCATTGTCTCATGTGCATAGAGTAGGTTGCTATACACATTTGAATAATGAAGATTCATTTATTTGAAAATAGATAATAGACTAGATCTATAATTTTATTATAATCTTAAAGTTGTCTTTAAGTGACTTTCCCAGAGACATGCTGCCAATATATTTCAGACAAAAGACACAAACCCATTTCTTACTGGCTCTAGATCCAGAACTCTATCTACCTTAGCATGTTTGCCTATCTTTTTCAAGCAACACGGAGTAAATTATCCTTCTCTACCTATGCCCTCTCAAATACATATTTGTTCCTGAATTCAACAATAATTCTTATTCCCAACCTAGTCCAAGTATCTATCATCTGGGGGCAGAGTTGGAGAGGAACAAGACATGCCACAGCATGGCAAAAATTCTCCCAAAAGTTCACTCTTTGAAACACACCCAGGTCAGCACTCTAGCCATACTGCCTGCTAGAAATCAATGCTCCAGAAACCTCTTTATCCTGAAAGTTCACTTTCTCCAATGTGGAGACACCCTGTGCCACCTGCAACCTCTTGCTGTAATTGGATGGCTCCTCACAGAACCTCCATCTAAGTAATGTGCTTAGCCTGGTCATGTCTTATCACTCTATAGGCTGCACTTTGGACTTTCTCAACTACCCCCACCCCTCAATCCCTACTAAGTGGTTCAGTGGATAAAGCACAGGGCCTGAAACCAGGAAGTTTATTTTTGTTCTTTAGCCATTTTTTAGTTATGTCCAACTCTTTGTGATGCCTTTTTGGGTTTTTTTTGGCAAAGATACTGGAGTAGTTTGCCATTTCCTTCTCCAACTCGTTTTAAAGATGAGGAAACTGATACAAACAGGGTTAAGTGATTTTCCCTGGGTCCCTCAATTATTCAGTGTGTGAGACCAGATTTGAACTTAGTCTTCCTAATTACAGAACCAGTGTGAAATCCAGCCTTTGATACTTACTAGCTGTGTGACCCTGGGCAAGTCACTTCACCTCTGTCTGCCTCAGTTTCCTCATCTATTAAATGGCAATAATAATAGCACCTACCTCCCAGAGTTGTTGTGATTATCAAATGAGAAAATAATTGTAAATCACTTAGTACAGTCCCTGACACATAATGTGTTATAGAAATGTTAGCTATTATTATTTATTACTAGGTACCTTTGTTTTCTCTCCCTCTCCTCTCCTCTCCTTCCCTTCTCCTTCTCCTTCCTCCTTCCTCTCTCTCAGCCCTTTCTTCTTTCCACTCTCCCCCTTTTAAGCTTCCTTCTATGTGTTTTCTTCTTTGACTTCCCCTATTACAATTTAGCAGGCTCCTTGAAGGCAAGGACTATCATTCTTTCTGCTTAAACTTGTACTCCTAGTAGTTAACATAGTGCATGGCACATAATGCCTATTGACTGACTGTTGGGGCTGTCACTCTCATCAAAGCAGTATAGGATATTAGAAAGGATCCTGGTCAGAACCTTTGGGTTTAAATCTCAATGCTGCCATTTATCAGCCCTGTGACTATGGGGGAAAAATCACATAACCATTGCATACCTCAAGTTTTGTTTCCTTAGCTATGAAATGAGGATAATCCTAATACTATTGACTTTATGTAGTGAATAAAATTACTATGCAACTCTTAAAAATGTATATGTATGTGTGAGTTAATATCATTATTATACTACCTACCAAGAGACTAGAATTTTCATATCTACTGATTAGAAAACCTCCTTCCCAGATAGTGCTAGGGAAACATGGACAAAATTATTGTCTAACTCTCCTTTTGCTCTACTAAGAATACCACTATCCTGTTTGCCTTTATCATTATGTCATCAACATTTTTGATTCAATGTATTTTCATAACATTTTCAAATTATAGAACTTTCATACTTTTCCTTTATTCTATTTTAGGTTGACTAAATCCTGGTATAGAGGGTGATCTTACAGTCAGTAAGCTGTATCCAAATCTCAATGTAGGTTTCGTGTAAAGCCAACATGGTTTAGTAGTGGACTAGCAATCATAGGATCCTAGAGATGGAAGGAACCTCAGAGGTCATCTGATCTGATCCTGTAATTTTTACAAATGAGGAAAATAAGTGACTTTTAAGTGACTTAACTCTCACAGGTACAACATTTGAACCCAGATCCTCTGACTCCAGAATCAGTGTTGGGTTTTTTTTGTTCCCACTGTACTATGTTGACAGGGAAATCTTGCTTCTGACATTTAATGTCTTTGAATCTCATTTCCTTTATCTGTAAAGTGGGAATAATAATAGTTGTAATATCTGCCTCATAGAACTTTTTTGTTAGGATCAAATGAGATAACATATGTATATTATACAGTTTAAAACACTATAAAAATGTCAGCTATTATTAAATGGCAAATCTTAACAGTGGTGTGTACATTCTTTGTCATTTGAGTTGTAAACAGTACTCTTTTCTCCTATCATCTTTCAACTTGGGGAAAGGAGGGAGTCTAAATTGCATACTGACCTGAGTTCTCAATTCACACCATGAAGTGATAGTTTTTGGCTTAATGACTCAGATTGAGAGTGATGATTTAGTGTGATCCATTCTCATTAGAAGGGCATATTTCCCAGAAGCCATGTGCCAAGGTTTTGGGGTTTGTTTGTTTTTTATTTTGCATTTTGTTTCTCTTATTCAAAAACAAACATCCCTACAAAGAGATTTTCCCACCACATTTTCCATGGTATCACCTCATTCTCTTGTATATCTGCTAATTCTTATGCTATTTTTCCAATATCTGTTGCAGTCTAAGTCCTTTAGCGACAGCAAGAACCGCCACAAAAAGCCAAAGGACACCAAACCAAAGGTGAAGAAGCTAAAATATCACCAATACATTCCTCCTGACCAAAAGGCAGAAAAGTCTCCTCCTCCCATGGACTCTGCCTATGCTAGGCTTCTGCAGCAGCAACAACTTTTCCTACAACTACAAATCCTCAGCCAACAACAACAGCAGCAAAGATTTAGCTACCCAGGGCATCATCAAGCACAGCTAAAGTGAGTCAATTTAGGAGACATGGTTGAAGGCAATGGGTAGCTAATGAACTCATTGCAATCTCTCATTTCTATGTCATTTCTTTATTTTATTTGAAATTTTTGGGCTAAAACAAGCATTTCATAACATAATACAATAAAAAAGATGATTGTACATGAAATTGCAAATCTGCTATGCACAGCTGGCTATTCCTCTCAAATATACAACAAAACTATCATGTAAATTTCCTTTTTTTTCTTCCCTTCCCACCTCCTGCCCTGGAGATGGCTACTTATTGCATGTCACCTAGCCGTTGATTGTATGCTACCTTTCATTTTTCTGTATCTGGTTGTATACTGTCTTCTATTGTGTTAGCTTTGTCTTCGTAGGTAGATTGCAAACTCCTTCAGAGGGGAAGCTGTGTCTGATATCAGAGCATTGAGACCAAACCATGATGGCTAGAGAGAAGTAATGATGAATAAAAGACATAGCTTGAGGAGAGCAATCCCTCAGGCTAGGAAGTTCTGGGTCTGCAAAGATAATTCATTCCACCAAACCACTGACTTAGAATGAATAATGCCAGCATGTGTTCCTCTTTATAAATTTTAACCCTTTTGAAGACAAAGATTATATTTCATTTATTCTGGCATCTTAAAGTATTGGGTAAGCAGTCACTGTAGCTTGTTGGCTGATCAATCTGAATTTTGGTCTTCCTCCCCCACAATCCTAATTTCTCATCACAATTATTATGTTACACGTGCTGATGAAATCATCATTTAGTCCTATATTTTCCCATCTCCAAAATGTAAGCAGAAATTAAAGAGCCACCAAGAAATAAAAGGAAGGAGTAGGTTAGGAAGTCAGGAGAAACTTCACTTCTAGGCTCCTATCAAAGCAATCAAAACTCTAAAAGATGGGGCGGGGGGAATTGAATAGGCAAGGAATAGCTTTACCTCAGAAAGGTACTGACCTTAAGGGAGCAAGTACACCTCATCTCCAGGAGTCCTGCTAATTCTTGGAGAAACAAAGGAGATCATTTCTCCTATTTATAATACCACTGTGCCTAGCTTTAAGAAAATCCAGTATAAAAAATATGAACTTATAAAGCAAACAAATTTGAGATATTATATCACACATGGATTCTTTCTTAAATGACAAAGATTTACAGTAGCATTCCTTTGAATAACAGACATTTACATTTAAAATATGGCTTTAATTTTACGAAAGTCAGTTGTTTGGCTCCACTTTTTAGAAAACATATATTAGATAAGACAAGGTAACATTTGTATTTAGAGCAAAGACACCGATGGGAAACTCCACATGGAAAAGAGAAAATGTTTCTAATTTCTTTCCATTTGAAATATAGTTTGGGAGGAAGGGGAAGTCATCTAAGTACTTCATATATATCCAAGACCTGCAAAATTGAATGGGTTGACCAACAAACTCAAAAACAGATCTTGTCCCAAATTTTGTCATTAGCTGTCTGTAAATTTAAGATAAAATGATTTCTTTCCTGTTCATTCTTTCTCTCATGATGGAAAATATGCCTACTCCTCATTATATTCAAGTTTCTAAACTTCATTGGGTTATGGACAAGCCAGAACCTAAATTGGTACTGAAGAATCTAAATGAAAACATGCTGCCAGACTGATCAATCAATCAATAAGCATTTATTAAATACCTACTGTGTGCCAGACAAACTATGCAGTTATCTAAAATATCCCATTGTCTATTTTTAGGGAACCCAATGAAGAATTGATCAGAAATCCAAACTCATCAGTTTCCATAAGCAATACTCCTCTATCTCCTGCCAAAACCACTTTTTCTGGACAAACTGGCATTTCTTCTCTCAAGCTGGGTCCTCTTCCATCAAATCTGGATGATCTGAAGGTATAAGTTTTGGGGCTATTAAAAAAAAAAGATTATATAGCAGCAATCACCAAATATTATGTGGGGTAATACAATAGCAGTCTATATGTGTATTGTGGTAGAGGATAGAGGGAATTTTGTTACTGTATAAAATCCCAGTCATCAACCACTTTTTATAACTCCCTTCTCCACACTAAAAATGTATTCTACATAATGAAATAATTGCAGTAAACTCCAGAGTAGAGTAACTCTGTTCTTTCCCTTGAGAGGATCTGTAAGACAATCCTTAGCCAATATATTTTCAGAAGGGGGAAGGTATGATTTCTTCATTGTAGAAAACTCCCATTGTGTAAACTCCCTATGCTGAGTAAGTCTGTGGTTTGTCCCTATCTTATAGAGAGTCTTTGGACACTAATAACCGGAATGATTTGCCCATTGTCACACAATTAGTATACTTCAGAAGCAGAACTTGGGAAAAGATGTTTCTCCACGTAATCTTCCATACTCTGAGGTCAGCACTCTAGTCATACTGCCTGCTAGAAATCAATGCACAGATTCTATCCTTTTAACCAGAAGTCTTATCTAATGCTAAGCACTCCCATACTCATAATTCTCTACTGGCATTTCACTCACATTTTGATAGCTACAACCAAAAGATTTTTTTACAAAAACATCTGTTCATAGTGTCTAGAAGGAGGAGATAACAGTTCCATTGTATTCTGACCTAGTAAGACAGCTTTTGGAATAGTGTATTCATTCTGGTGCCACAGTTAAGAAAAGACATTAATAGGCTAGAGTATGTTCAGAGTAGGAAAATGGCAAGGGCACTCATATCCATGTCACAGAACATTACTTGCATGAAATGAGAACATTTGGCCTGGAGAAGAGAACGAGGGGGGCAGAGAATAGTGGGAGAAAGGTTGAGGAGGGAGAAAGGGGAGGAAGAAGAGAAATGACACCTATCTTCAAATATTTTGTCATGAAGGAGAAAGTTTTGATTTGTTCTGGCTAGTTGCAGAGAACAAAACTAAAAGCAGTGAGTTCAAGTCACAGAAGGGCAGATTTGAGCTGTATATAAGGAAACTTTAATAATTAGAGCTGTTCAAAAGAGAAATGGGATGCCTTGGGAAGTAATTAGTTTCTTATAATTGGATTCTTGAAACATATGTTTAGCAACTGCTTGTCAGGGACCTTGTAAGGAACATTCCTTTTCAGGTACTATATGAACTCTGAGAAACTTTCCAATTATGATTCTATGATTCTGTTTCTCCAACTATAGGATAAGCACATCCTCTGCTAGATAAATTACTACAATTCAAGAGGAAAACAAAAAGAATAGACCACTGAGGTTGAGTGGGAGTCAAGAGTTTTGTATATTTTGACTTGAACCTAGATTGATATTTGGTCCTATAGGGTTTATGGAGAAAATCAAAATACTACCTACAACATGATTATTTAATGATGAAATAATCTCCCAAATGACATCATTTCTTAAATTTAGCAGGATCATTTCATGTAGAATGGCCTTATCTGGTTCAATAGGGTTCCATTTTTCACAAGGGATTAAACATGTTCCATTATAGAATGCAAACATATTGAAGGAAATAAATGTTTAATTTTTGTCTTTGTGTCCCCAGTTCCTGTCAAACAATAGGTATCTTAAAAGTGTCAGCTGACTAATTGTTTGGCCACAAAGAGGAGAACCACAATTGATAGAAGTTACAGGGAGGCAGATTTCAGCTTAACACGGAATAAAGAATTTCCATTAATAATTAGAACTGTCCAGCAGGGATGCCTTAAGAGGTAGTGAGTGCCCCATGACTGTAAGAATTCAAGTGGAGACTGATAGAAATTCTGTAGAAGGGTTTTATGCTTCAGGTAAGAAGTTAAGTAGTCCTCCTAACTCTGAGATTCTGTGATGCACCACCCCCATCTATATGCAAATTAAATTGTAGGTTTAGACTACGTAATTTTTTTCTAACAGTTGATCTCTCCACAATAATTTGAAAACTTTAGAGATGAGAGTAGGTGCCAATCTTAATATTTACTCAGTTCAAGGCATTGCAATCAATACAGGGATCTAATTCCCAACCTTGATTCCTTGTGTGATTACCAACCTTACACATACAGGGATGGCTGTCATGTGAGTTCAAATCTAGCCAAGTTGATTTGGAGTGACTCAAAGTGTGAATATATCTGAGTTAGTCATTTTATACACACACACACACACACACACACACACACACACACGTATATATATGACCATATTATATATATATGATACCATATTATATATAATAGTCATTTTTTATATATATATATATATAAAATATCATTTTATTTAAAACGTCTCCTCTCTGACCTGAAAAAGTGTCTTATCAACCGTTAAGAAGATTGCAATATCAACAATGGCCACTAGAGGACATTCAAAGCTCAATGGCTAATAGCCACTTTGCCTTTCCCTTTCAATTATCTCCTCTGTGCCACCGCAGTTTTCTGAATTCATTTCCAAGTGGAACACATAATAAAGAAAATTATTAAGAACCTCATGCATCTAAGGCATCGTGCTAAGTGTTGGGGATACAAACACACACTCATACACATACACACATGAGGAAGAAACAATAGTTCCAAAGGAGTTGCATTAATATTAATATTTTTAAAGTAATAGTTTTTTTCAATTACCTTACCTAACCTCCATTTGCCATAGAATAATCTTCTCTCTTTCTTGTGAGAAAAATAACAACTACAATTGGGAAAGGACGTTTCCCTAGGTAATTAAATAATATTTGATGAAGTGAGGTATGGGATTAGAGATTCAATGATTAATAAGAAATTTGTGGCAATTTAGTAATTAATGAGGAAATATCTAAAAATACTCTTAGAATTCAGGAAAAATGAGATTAAACACAGGAACAAGAAAAGAGCTATTCTTACAATCTATAAATAGGTTGATTAGCTCCATGTATAGCTTTACAGGTGGCATTCATCTTTCTAACCTTGTTACATATACACCATTTACCCCTATATAAACTCACATATATTAACTTATATGCCAAAAGGAATAAGAGGAAAATTCAACTCAGCATATGCCAATTTTAATTATGTAATGAGTTTTACTAGTTAATAATGCAGTTACAAATTTACATACCATTAATAATAGATTTTTTATGAGTATAGTGAAAAAATAATCTAAACTCCTTTGTTCTTTTAGGTCTCTGAATTGAGACAACAACTTCGAATAAGGGGCCTACCTGTATCAGGCACCAAAACAGCCCTCATGAATCGCCTTCGACCCTTCCAGGACTGCCCTGAGAACACAGTGCCAAATTTTAGTGATATAACTACTATCACTTTTCCCGTCAACCCAGGCAATACTCTAACCAGCTATCAGTCCTCTTCTACTAGTGTCTTACCCAGTGGTTTCTATCACTTTGGCAGCACCAGTTCCACACCACCCATTTCTCCAGCTTCATCTGATGTCTCAGTCACTGGCTCTCTACCAGATACTTTCAATGACACTTCACCATCATTTGTTCTTCAGCCCTCTCCTATCCACATTTGTGCAGAGGACGGCGTAATGAGCAGCCTCAATGGGGGATGCATCCAGTCTGATTTAGATGGAACTGATTCTGAGAAGGATAAGATGTTAGTAGAGAAGCAAAAGGTGATTAATGAACTTACCATGAAACTACAGCAAGAGCAAAGACAAGTGGAAGAACTGAGGATGCAACTTCAGAAGCAGAAGAGGAATAACTACACAGAGAAAAAACAGCCACAAACAAATTTCTTTGGTGTTCCCATCAAGACGGAAGATACTGTATGCAGTTGCCCTTTTCCATCAAAACAAACATCTGTGAAAATACAGAGTAATAATTCAGACAAACAACTAAGTACTCGAGAACCTGCCCAGCTCCTTCCCCCTCTAAACAGTCATTCTGTAGAGTCCGTAGGACAGACCAAAGCACTTTCTTCCACATTTCTTAGCCCTCAGAATTCTCCCCAACATTCCCCACTTGGAGCTATAAAAAGTCCACAGTGTATCAGTCGGCCCCCATCACCGAACAACCATTACCTCCTCTCTTCATCTTCTAGCTCCCAAGGAGAGAAGCACAGTGGCCTCTCACAAACCAGCAGCCAAATGTGCTCAATTCAGGTAAGGGGCTCAGGAGATATATAAAATTCATTAAGAGTGAACTGCTAAAGAGCAGATTATCATTTCAGTTTATTGGATGGGCTTTGAGAAATGCTGCCCATACAGGCCATCATAAAAAGGCCTTGTGCTTAGCTGGGCCTCCTTAGGAGGGAGTCAGCTCAATTTTTAAAAGATTCATTAAGTATCAACTACTTGCTAGGCACTGTGCTAGGTTCTCAGGAAGATACAAAGCTAAATAAGACAGCCACAGCCCTTCTGTCAAAGAGTACACAATCTAGTGGAGAAACATAGTTCTAGTCTATGATATAAAGGAAAATGTAATATAATAATAATAGCCAGCATTTATGCAATGCTTCGAGTTTTATGAAACACTTTAAATACTATCTCATTTGGTCCTCACAATCATGTTAGGTAGGTGCTATTATTACCCCCATTTTAAAAATAAGGAAACAGAGGCTTACAGACTTTAAATGACTTCTCCAGGTTCATGCAGATAGTATGTGTTTGAAACAAGAATTGAAAGTAGGTATTCCTGACCCTAAGTCTACAGCTGTTAACAATTCTGCCATGCTGTCTTTTTGGTCCCAGCTCCATTCTATGGAGTGACACTATATTTTTCTCTACTTGACAGTTCATCAGATATTTGAAGATAGCTCTTGTAATATAAAAAGAACATTGGGCCGAGTACCAGGAAACCTAGGTTTTAGTTCTGTTGTGCCCTGAATTAGCTGTATGAACACTTCAATAAAATGAAAGATATCTGTCCCTTTCTTTCCATTCACATAGGTACCAAGAGAATCCAGCCCCATGTGCTCTCTTGTCTGGACTTTTGTAAAAGTTCAGACTCTAATCTCTTACTGCTCTAAATCACTCTCCTCACACCTGCCAATGGCTATTCCTAAACTACAGGTCTTACCATGTCAGTTCCCTGCACAAGAAACTGTAGTGGTTTACCACTGCCTCTAAGATAAACTATTAATTCTTCTATTAAGCATTTAAATCTCTTCACGTTTCTGTACTAGAGAAACTTCTCTACTATAGAGCTATGATTATTAGCATTTAAACAGATATTATATAGAAAACATGTTGTATTATACAATAAATGAAAATGAATATTTCTGTTGTTAAGATTGCTTGTTGCAACTCCTCTTTGGAAACTGCCTTGGGAGCTGAGGCATATTATTTTTAATATTTTCACAAAGGGTATTGAAAATGGATTTTATATTAGGAACTAACCAAAGTAATCATTCAGGGATTTTTAGTTAGTTCTTAAAGTCAAAGGAGTAGATTTGCTCTCCCTGAAAATATTCAGAAGAATGTGCCCAGTATCTCAAGGCAATTCCCAAATAAGCTCCCAAAACATGAACAATGTCAGCATTATTAAAATAAGTGTATAATCTCCCAAGGTAGCTTCTGAAGGATTTTTATTTGTATCTTATTATTTACTTCTATATCAAAGTATCATTTTGTTTAAAATACAACTGGTCTTATTTCTGTACAGTCATTTTGTTTTGGTGGTTTCCCCATGTCCTTGAACATTCCATCACAGTAACATTGATAAGGTTTTCAAACAATACTGTAATAGTGTGAAACTATTCCAAAGATTATTTTTCAGGAGAAAAGCTACTTTATGCATTCAACAAATATTTATTGAGTGTATGCTAAATCCCATTAGTGATTAAAAGATAAATAAGATATTGTCCCTGCCTTCAAAGGCCTTACAACCTAGGAGTAGGGATAATAAAAGTACAAATGATAAGAAAGTTACACCATGCTATAGCATTGCAGAAGAGGGACTGAGATCCAAATGAGTGAAAATGGCTACTAGGAATTTGAAGAATGAGATAAGAAAGAAGAAAGAGGAGGCCAGGCTGTGCTTGATGAGTTAGTTCACAAGGTCTAAGCAACTACATTGGAGAGTATTAAAAACACTGGCAGATGTTATTTCTAAACCACTGTCAGTGATTTTGAAAGACTGATGTAGCGCTAAATAAGGACAAATAGTGTCCTGCTTTAAAGAGGATGGGGTGAATAGAGTCCACAAACTTCGCCCAGTGAGCTCGAATTTGGTTTCTGGTAAAATTCTTGAACAAATTATTAAAGGGATGATTATTGAAGTCTATAAAAGGAGGTAATGACTACGAAAAGCCAACTTGGCTTAGTTAAGAACAGGTTATACAATAGTCCTAGGGATATGGACTGAATATGCTGAATAGAGTCCCTCCCCATAGAGAAAGAGGCCATATAAATAACTGCAATCCAACTTTTTATTGGAAGGAGAAGCTCAACTGAAACATCAGTAGAGGCCAATCAGCATGGCGGAGAGAACAAATAAGGAGAAGACCATAACTCAGTAAAGACCTGATGATATCACAAGAGGAAATCAGTAGTATTGGGGGAAAAAGGGTAGTAGGAGCAACAGCACTGGAAAATGAGAAATGTTGAGGTAGTAGGAGTTGTCCTTACTACTTGGTTTCTTCTGGCACATGTATTCTCTGTTTATGTGCCCCATCGTGTATGTGTTCTCTCACTTGTTGGTGTGGTAACCTGTGGGATAATAACACACACAACTACATGATAGAGTGTGGGAGTAATTTTACCTGTATTTTATAATGCTGTTTAAACACATGCCATTTGCTTTTGTTATGCCATACTCATTTCCTCCTTTCCAGAGGGTTACTAGACTAGTAAATGAGAAGAATACTGTATCTACCATCATGGACAAGTGGAAGTATGTGAGCTAGATGATACTATAACTAGACAGACTGATTCAAAACTACTTTAATGACCAGAGGATTGGATTGATGTTATTTTTTAGAGGAAAGTCTATGGTGGCGTGCCTTCAAACCTTGACCTTGAACTGTTTTATAATTTTGTCAATCAATTACTCTTTCCCTTCTTTGAATTTTGATGATAGTATAAATGGCATGGTGACCATATATAAAAATAACACAAGGCTGGGAAGGATAACTCATATTTCAATGAATGATTTGAGATCCAAAATTAATATTGATAATAATAGATTTGTAATATTGATATTGATAATAAATGATTATAGATTGACAGATTAGAATGTTAGGCTAAGATGAAATTTAATAGGGATAAATTAATTTCAAAAAATAAATTTCATAAGTGCAAGATGGGGGAAGGTAGGGAGGTAACTGCTTCCTAGAAAAATTTCTGGTAGTTTTAGTGTGCTGCAATCTTAATATGAGGCAATGATATGACATGACAGTCAAAATAGCTAATGTGATCTTAAATTGCATTTAACAGTGGTGGGAGGAGGAGAGAATGACCATTTATTATTAAGCATCTATTACATGCCAGGCACTGCATTAAACATTTTACAAATATTATTTCATCTAATCCTTACAAAAACCCTGTGAAGTAGGTGCTATTATTGGTACCAATTTATGGTTGAGGAAACCAAAGCAGACAGAATTTGAGTGACTTGCCCAGAATCACACAGCTAATAAGGACACTATTTGTCCTTATTTAGTGCTACGTAAGTCTTTCCAAAATCACTGACAGTGGTTTAGAAATAACATCTGCCAGTGTTTTTAATACTCTCCAATGTAGTTGCTTAAACCTTGTGAACTAACTCATCAAGCACAGCTTGGTCTCCTCCTTTCTTCTTTCTTATCTCATTCTTCAAATTCCTAGTAGCCATTTTCACTCATTTGGATCTCATCCATTTGATGTACTCAGTTCCTCTTCTGCAATGCTATAGCATGGTGTAACTTTCTTATCATTTGTACTTTTATTATCCCTACTCCTAGGTTGTAAGGCCTTTGAAGGCAGGGACAACATCTTATTTATCTTTTAATCATTCATGGGATTTAGCACTCACTCAATAAATATTTGTTGAATGTATAATAAGCCAAATTTAAACTCAAGTCTTCCAACCTGATTGCAAACCCAACCTAGCTCTCTCTTTGAGAAGTATAGGATCTAGAGTAAGGTAAATGACGGATCCACTGTATTTCACTTTGTTCCAACCATATGTGGATATTATGTTCACTTCTGGATACTGTACAAGAACATCAGTAATCTAAAGAACATCCAGAAGAGGGCAACCAGAATGGCAAAGGGGTTTAAGATCATATCATACAAAGATGAAGGGTTGTTTAAACTAGAGAGCAAAAGAGTTAGAGAAGACATGATAGCTTTCTTCAAGTATCTAAAGGGTGTCATATGGCAGAGATGTTGCATTTATTCTTTGTCTCAGAGGGAGGAACTAGGAGCAAAAAAGTTAGAAGCAGATTTCAGCTCTGCATATAGAAAAATTCTTAACAATTAGAGCTGATAAAAAATACAATATACTCTGTTAGAAGGTAATAAGGCAATCGTAGAAGGGAGTCTTTGTAAAAGGAAAGTTTGGACTAAATGGCTTGTGATCAGGGAAGACTTCATGAAGAAGAGTATTTGAGCTTACTTTTGAAAAAGGAGTTAGACCGTAATGGCATTCCAGGAAGACAGACTTTAGGGATCAGGGAGTAGTCTGGCTTACTTGAATTATGAGGTATATGGTGGTGGCTGTGGGCTTTAAGGCTGGAACAGGAGTTGGGGACAAATTGTGGAACTGATTGCTAGGGTAAGAAGTTTGTAGTTTTCCTAGTAGACAATGTTTTGGGTAGGTGAGTTATATAATCAAAGGACTATGTAACTGCTTGTATTAGGAAGATTAATTTGTCAATGAGTATCAGATGAATTAAAGAAGAAATTTTGAAAACAAATAGACCAGTTAATAGGCTTTTGCAATAGTCTGAGTGAGAAGTAGTAAGAGCCTGAAACAGGCTAATGGCAGTGGGACTGGCGCTGAGATGATGAATTAGAAAGAAACTGCATCAGCAGGACTTGGAAACTGATTAGATATAGAGGGCAAGGAGGAGGATGGAGTAAAATATCAATCAGAGGTTTTGATCCTGATACAAAAAACTGGTATCATTAAAAGAATTTGGGAAGTTAAAAGTGAGAACTGGATCATGGATTTTAGATTGGAATATATGTCAAAGTTCAAATAGCTCTAGTTTCAGTTTTAGGAAATATTGAGTTGAAGTTATGTTACTCGATTTTTAGATGTGTGACTCCAGATGGCAGAACTAAGACCAAAAGTAGGAAAGTAGATTGCAGGAAGGGAAAAAAACTGACTAATAATTGAAATAATTAGAAAAGTAAAACTGATTCTTTGGTAAGTAGTGTATTCCTTTTCACTCAAAGGTGGTGCTAAAGATGGAAGAGACCTGCATATGTTTATAGGCATTAGGGAAGTAGCCAATGGACAGGAAGAGACTGATGATAAGTGAGAGAGCTGGGATAGTGGGAACAAATGCTAGGGATGGAATGAGATCCCTTGTGCATAGAGCGAGGTTAGCCTTACAAAGAAGGGCCACTTTTTCATGTGAGACAAGGGTAATTACAACTCTTCCTGATCTCCACATGTGATGATAACTCTACATGAAGTTACTTTGTATTTACTATGAATAAATTTTGTATGCATTTATTTCTGTACATATTGCTTCCCTCTAGGAGAATGTAAACTCCTTGAGGGAAGAAACTATTTCCTTTTTTTGTCTGTATTCCCAGTGTCTGGTATATAACAGACATTCAAATGCTTATTGAGTTGAGTTGAACTGAGAAAGTGTGGAGGAAAACTAGTACTGAGCAATGAGAAATGGAGATTATTAGTATAGTATCCCACTCAGAAGTTAGGAAATATGCTGGCTTTCATCAGGGATAAGATGTATAAAGTTGTTTCAGGAAAATTAATTGCATAGCACAAAGGTATTACTAGACCACCTGAGACAAGATGTGCTACTGAGAAGCTGGGTTTAAATTGTGCCTCCGATCCTTACTATCTTTGTGATCTTAGGAAAGTCAAATGAAAGGATGGTACGAAATAACCTCTAAGGTCCCTTCCAGCTCTAGATCCATGATCCTAAGGGGCTGTATCTGAAGATATGTCATCTTTACTTCTTGTTCCTTTCTACAGAGCTCAGGAATACAAGATGGCAATACTTCAGGCTTCTCTCCTGAATCATCCAAACTCCATATTCCCTTCTTTGGTACCCAACCAGACAGTAGGCAGGTTACCAGAGTCAATGCTTCTTCCAAAAGCCCTGATACAGAACACAAGGTAAGCTTCTAGGAATATCTTTTATGGGCATCACTTGAATCTTTCTCCTGCCCAATCTTTTCCCTCTGACTATTAGAATAAATGACTGAATCCAGGGGAAAAAAGGAATATTTTATTAATAAATTTCTCTATTTTGAAGCTATTTATATGACTCAAAGAGATGTGAATTTGAAGATGTCACAGGAATCTGGTAGTGGAATGGAAATGTCTCCTTTTAATCCACCAGTCCTCTTATTGCCTTGCTTATTGCTGTTCAATCATGTCTGACTCTTTTTGTGCCCATGGACCCTACCATGGGGTTTTCTTGGCAAGAATACTGGAATGGTTTGCCATTTCCTTCTATAGTGGATTAAAGAAAACAGAGGTTAAGTGACTTCCCCAGAATCACACAGCTATTAGGTGTCTGAGGAAGAATTTGAACTCAAGTTTCCCTTACTCCAGGCCCAGAGCTCTATCCACTGAGCCATTTAGTTGCCTTCTTCTGGGGTTGCACAGAAGTCTAAGAAGACAATTACAGTTCACCCCACCCCAAAACTGAACTCAGCATGTATCGTCAAACCAGTTCCTTCTGACTCCAGTTTCTAATAATAGCACCATTACAATAGCAAGAAGACTATGTATGATATGTTTGGGAAACAATAAAAAAAAAGCCAGTTGGTCTCTTGGGAGAGGGTTTATGTAGGTGCATAGTGGAAGCTAAAATTAGACGCCATTCTGGAGGCGTTGCTAAAAAAAATGGTAGTAGGGCATAAGGAGCATAGCCTGAAAACACCTACTCTCTAAAAGAAGAGAGCAAAGTAGAATAGAATGTATCTCAACTAGTGAGAAGCCTTTGAGTGAAGGACTTCAAACAAGAAGAGCTCCATAGTCTGAGTGAGAAGTGGCTGGTTACAGGGTAGTGGAAGGAAATAGCAACCTATTTCCAAGCAAGTCATTGTAGCCTCCATAGAAAAGGAACCGAGATGCCTAGCCAAGCCTATAAGATATACTTTATGAATCAAATAAAGCTGAATTTAAGGAATCAAAATGTAAGTGACTTATTCCTGTAATACTCCTTGGGAACACACATAATTTTTAAATGGAAAGATGCAGGAAAGAAATTTTCTTGATATTTTCTTGGTCTTTTATGACTTTATGTTTAACTTCTCATTTTTTCCTTTCCTCCTCTCTCTCTTTTGCTGTCAGAGAAAGGGGATCCCTCCTAAAGAAACACATACCAGACAGAGCAAGTCTCTAGCAAGAATAGGCTCCCACAACTACAACTGAGACTATACTGTGTAGACTGATAAATTGGGAAGCATTTTACTAGGAGGTTTACTCAGTTCCATACAACAAGAATATATGTTTTATTTCTTTTTGTTTTAATCTAGATTACCAAAATTACAACTGCCCTTTTGAAAAAGAGATGTGCTAAACATTGATCACCTTTCCCTGTATTTCCCTCATGCAGATGGCTGTTTTACATTCTTCTTGTCAGGCAGGGCCAAAACTTTCTATTCCATCCCGAACTTTTTCAAAGTCAAGTTCAGGACTTTCAGAGATAATGCAGCCTCCCACTTATGAGGATGCAATTAAGCAGGTAACTATATGATCTTTTTTCTTTCTAGAATAGGTGTTCCTAAACTGAAGTCCACACATCCCTAAGAAGTACATGGAGAAATTTTAGGGTGCCCATGCACCTGACAGGGGGGGAAAAAATCCTTATTTTCACTAGCCTCTAGCAAAAAATTAGCATTAAAGTTAATCAGGTGGTACGGTGGATAGAGTGCTGGACCTAGTAGCAGGAAGATTTGAGTTCAATTCCCAGATCAGCAAGGTGACCCTAGATGAGTCACTTGACCTCTGTCTGCCTCAATATTCTCAACTATAAAATGGTGATAATAATAGCACCTAACTTCCAGGGTTGTTGTGAGGATAAAATGAGATAATATTGTAAAATGCTTTTTAAACCTTAAAGCACTATATAAATGCTAGCTATTATTATTGTGATTATTATTTCCTTTGATTATTTGAAAACATTTTTTCAATAATGGATGCATAGGCTTTAACATATGGTAACATTCTTCATGTCCCTTTCTTTCAGGAACAGTGAGTTCCATTTTTCAAAAGGAACAGAAAAGCCAGCAAAAGTTCATGTTTAAGATAAAGATAAAACACAAAGCTTCAAAACTAGGAAGAAAACTGGGGGCCAACTGGATCTTAACCCTATTCAAATGTATTTACTATATTTAAAGTAAATCTCTACCAGATTTTAAGCTGAGATGCAAATCAAAAAAAATTAAATTCAAACTAATGATACTAAGTAGAATATGAATCAAATATTTATACTAAATGTAAACAGTTTAACAGAAAGAAGTTGGTGTTATTATGGAGTGAGGGGGGGGGGAAGAGCCAGCTTCCCTACTTAGTAAATATATAATACACCAAAGATAGAAACATCTAAAAAGCAAGGAGACTCTGTCTATTCCGCGTTCCTTCATTCAGTTTCATTTTTTTCTTCTTTAAAATGAATTTTGACCTAATGTTTCCCTTAACCATTAAAGCTGCTTCTTTAATTTAACTTTTGATTTAATTTTTCCCATATTAAAGCTGATGATTAACCTGGTAGACAGGACAAATGACTTTCTAACTCCTCTGTTCTCATATGGTTTCCATTGTAGCAAATGATTCAAAGTCAACAGATGGATGAACTCCTTGATGTCCTCATTGAAAGTGGAGGTATAAAGCCCTTGCATGCTATATTCCCACGCTGCCGGAAGTGGCAGCAACCAGTTTTTGATTTAGATACATTGACTGGTGATTAGATAGCTAGAAAAAGAGCTAAAATAATCTATTCATCATATTAGTGGCACTGAACATTTTTTAGCATTTACATTGCCCTTGGGTTCCCAATCCATGCTCATTTTACAACAGAAAAAAAGGAACAAAACTTTAATATTTTGCCACTCTGGTAGCCAGTTCCTCACTCTCTCCTTCCTGTAGTTATTTTATTGTCACAAATTAGTTTTCATTCTTTTTATCTTTTAATTTATTCCCCCTTTTCCCTAACTTTTTCCCATTGTACTCTGCTGAATTCCTTCTAGTGTAGCTCAAGCCTCTTTACTTTCTTGTTTGCAACAAGTAGGAAAGAGAAAAATGTTAGCATTTTGGCTCACCTATATAAAATTGAATCCATATAGCAATTTCTATGTTAAAAGATTCATTACACCTGGTCAAATACAAATCTATATTAAAACTAGCAAACAAATTGGACAAATCTTTTACTTGATTTTCTTTTCTGTTAAGATGATTTAATTGAATTAATTTATCTAATCCAGACATTTACATCATGTGTATCCTGAATTGGAGCACTCTAATGTAATTATTTTGTGTTTTAACAGAAATGCCAGCAAATGTCAAAGAAGATCATTCATGTTTTCAAAAAGCACAAAAGATAACTGGATCTTCTCAAAGTCTTCTCCACAAATCCTCTAGCCCATTTGAGCATATCTCTTCAGCATCCCAGCTCTCTTTTGATCACTGCACAACTAATAGTGACAATCACTTTGAAGTCTTATTGAATTCTCACAGTCCTTTGGGCAAGGTCAGTGATGTCACACTTCTAAAAATTGGAATTGAGGAATCTCAGTTTGAAGGGATTATGGACAGATTCTCTGACAAAGCAACAGATGAACTTTTAGGTTCTCATGAGATCTTGCCAGCCCCTCTCTCCCCCATACAATCTCAACTTTCACCTTCTTCCATAGATGGAACAGGTTTGCAGATGAGCTTAACAGAATCTCCCTGGGAAACTATGGAGTGGCTAGACCTTACCCCACCAAGTTCTACAACAGACTTCAGTTCTCTCACTGCCACAGGCCCAAGCATCTTCAACAGTGATTTTTTGGATATTACTGATCTCAGTTTGAACAGTACCATGGACCTTCATTTACAACAATGGTAAAACACTAAATGTGCAATACTAAGTATGAGAAGGAATGCATTGAAGCAGGATGAAAATACCTAATCACAGACACCTTTTATTATTAATAGAAGAGATAAAGTCAAAAAGAAGCAATATAGGCTTTAGCTCCATCCAAGAAGAAGAAAATGGACTCTTTATTATATAAAATTTACCAACTGTTTGCTACTGAGAATGATTCAAACTATGACTTTCGTAATTAGCTTTTTTAGACTACACGTGCCAAGAAGGTCTTTCAGTGCCTCTAAAAACATGGATTTAAAAAAAAAACCAGGATTTTTCTCAGGCATTGTTTGGGTCTTGTCTCATCTTAAAATGAAACCCATTCACATAACTGGACAACTCATCACGTAATATAGAAGGGAAAAAAGATTTACTTTAAGAACAAAGAGAATTATAAAAGCCTAGTTTAAACCTAGGGAAATGGAATGTCTTCCTATCATAGACTACTTACTCATTTTCCAGGGATGATACTGCCTGTGCTCGAGGGGAAATGCTAATTTCCTTAGGGAAATCTTTGAATAGCTTTTGAGCCATCAGTGGAAAAGGACAAAACCCACTTAGTTCTAGGAAGCTAGGTCAGCTCAGCAGCTTTCAACAATAATGCTTTTCCAGGGACTGGTTTCAATCAGGAGCATAGGCTTTTTTTTTTTTTGGTACTTGATAATAGCTGACACATTCAAGGGACCCAGATCAACACTGGGGGTTTTGTTAAGGTGAAGAAGGTTCAATTCCTGCTCTCTATAAAAGGAAGGCATTGGGAGGAGTTTGATACTTCACCCTTCAAATCTCCAACCAGAGAGAAGAAGCTGAGGAAGGTGGTGTCAGTCAAGGCTTGAGTCAACAGAATGATGATGAGATGAGAGGTAATTAGCTTAACCTTAGAAAGGTATCAGCAGACAGCAATTAGAAGAAGCTGAAAAAGGTCGTTATTTCAATCAGTATTTCAATTCCTGCTCCTGTAGGAAACTATTTAGTGTCATACTTTTTAAGGGTAAAATTTTGTAGGTTACTCTGTGGTCTTCTGATGGTGACATTAGCATAGGTCTTTAGTATTCATGAAGTTCAAATTTCATTCTTAGCTTTGGGGAGGAGGAGTGTGATCCACCCTAATTCATATTTTCCCTCTTCACTTTCCCTGCAACTTATCCGTCTCTTTTTACTGTTCTCCTTATCCTTTTTCTTTCTGTGTCTTCTCCATTTTTTTACTCTGAAGCCTTACTTCAGTGAAAAAGAGTAACTAGTAAGTTCTAACACAGCAACAAAATTTTCTGATAATGCTACTCATTCTGATAATGCACTAAGATCCATAGAATAATGCTCCTCCAGATAATTCACTGTCACAAGAACTTCTTGAGAAAAATGTTCTTTTGAAATGTTTCATAAGCCTCTCAGGTAACAGGTCATTATATTGCCCTTTGTTTACTAAAAAGCCATTCAATCATCTGATGTTTTATAAAGGTCCACTTTGGAAAACTGGTTGCTGTCATGTAAATGGTAAATATAGGTTTAAAAAAGATATTTATGTAATAGAGTATAGTCTGCGAAACTAAAGAAACTAAATGAAAACACAGTTGCACATTGTAGAAAACGGGGTGTGGCTGTAGGATAGTAGAGACAGTAGAGATTAGTCTGTTTTCATTCCCCATGAACTTTCGGATTTGGGCTAGGAGCTGACAAGAATGCTATAGAACATTTTCTTCAGATCTCACTATTAACTCCCGATCAGTTCTATATTGCTTTGGAAGATATAGAAAATAGCTATAGGTTTGTTTTTGATCACAAATACACTATTTTCTTCTATTTTTACAAATATTGTTCACTGTGCACTCCTAAGATAGAAAAAAATTAATTGCCATTTTCATGATGTTTAGGATTTCTCTTGGAAAATCAAAGATTGACAAGTCATTCCAGTGTCATCTGTAAAAAGTGTTTAAACAATAATTTTGGTGACTGTCACCATTGTGCAAGCTTCCAGGCTTTAATTCTGAGGGGAAAATGGTTTTCTGGCCTCCAAAGCAGTATTTTTAACCATCCATGAATAACTGCTTAGCTGCTATGAAATGATGCCTGAATATATCCTACAGGAACTTTCTGATTAAACTACAAGATTACATTGAAGTAACTGGTCATTCTCATCTAAGTGCCTTAACATAACACCTGGCTTACCAAGAAGAAATGTGAAGAAGCAAAATGGTTTCAACAACTATCTCTGGAAAATTCCATTAAGAATAAGCAAATTGTCTTACATTCCTCATATCTAAATTAGCACTCTATATTGTTTTAAAAGATTTATGTGGGACATCTATTCAGCTTAGTCATCATTCCTGAGTATCCAAGTGGAGAAATCATCATTTCTTTGATATTAAAGATATAAGAAAGTAAGCCTCATTAATACATTCCTCATGTTCATAAGATAATATAATCTTATTTAAATCCTAACTTCCTTCTTGGTACATATTGCCACATGTCATGTTGTTTTTTCTTTCTTCTTAGTTCTTTTTAAAAACAATCACACAATATTTTGTGTAATTTTCTCTGTTATTTTGGGGCAGCTAGGTGGTGCAGTGGATAGAGCACTGGCCCTGGAGTCAGGACCTGAGTTCAAATCCAGCCTCAGACACACAACACTCACTAGCTGTGTGACTCTGGGCAAGTCACTTAACCCCAATTGCCTCACTAAAAAAAAAAAATCTCTGTTATTTTGCTCTCTGATGAAGTGCTGTTGTCTTTCTGACAAAAAGGTAAGAACTAATTAGGAAGACTCCTGAACCTTGTGTTAGTGTATTTTGCTTATTTTTTTTAGTAGAACCCATTTAGGAAATATCCTTGTTTGAATCTATGTACACAGAAGTTGAACTGTTCTAATTAAAAGGTTATTTTGTTCCAACATGCTCCAAAAAATCAACATGAGACACAAAAAGAAGAATGCTAAAATGATCATTCTCTATCACAAACTTGGCAATCATGACACAAATAAGTAGTATTCCCAGAGCATTCTCTCCTCTCAAGAAATAATAGCCAAACTAATATCAGAATGCCAAGTTGCTATATCCCAACCAAAATTTCTAGCACTATCTTCTTCGGGATTCTCTGGAATGCTAGAGGTGTGTCCTCTAATGATTTTCCTTGTTGTTGGGAAGAACAAAATCCAATGATTTTAGCATTCTCTAGTAATAAAAGTTTATTATCTCAAATCCTTGCTTTTCCTGTGACAAATACCCATTCATCTGTTTCTTGGGGTAAATTAAAAGTAGATGAAACCCTGAGTTGACAGTCCCAGGGCCCCTTCCAGTAAGGAATTATTATGTCCAAAACAATTGAATTATAATAAAAAATGGAGTTTGAGGGCTTCTTAACCCTGGAAGGTCTGGGAAGTATAAGGTACAGTCAGTCCTTCAAGCTTTTTGCCATTGTTGTAGTACTGTCTGGATAGCATCAGAAGCAGATAATACCAAAAGGTTTGGTACATGTAGTTCATTGTGTCCCACCGAGCCTATAGATACCAAATTGAAATGGACCCTGTAACTCAATCATATCTTATATTTTTATATTCCCATATCAGTCCAAACTTACTTAAGTGAAATAGTAAATGCTGTGGTTGTTAGTAGTGTCCCTAGTTTCAATCATAAAGATGACTCACATTCTACTAAATTCAAACATCACTTCAGGGAGGTACCAGAGTGAAAAATTAAGTCACATTTTTCCAGGAGAAAATAATTTTTAATTTTGCAATTGTGGTGAAGTAAATAAGAAAAAGGGGGTAAAAATTAACATTCCTCTATGAAAGGTAGCTTTAGCTTTTCCAATTAATTTATATCGGATCTGAAAAAGTATGTCTTTTTCTTCTGAGTAGTCCTTCTCCTAAACAATACTATTTTTAGTCAGTCAGAACCAAACATTTTCTGGCCAAAATTTTCAAAATCATATTTCTCAACAAATATTTAGTGAGCAAGGTACATAGAATACATAAAGCCACCTGATGGCATTAGCTGAGTCCAGGAAAAAAAATAGATAAAATGATGTTGCAGAGAGTAAATAATTCTATGGGGAAATGTTAAAAATATTATATGTTGGTAATAAGTTGGCTATTACATATTAATAAAACTATTAGAAAATTGGGAATGGCAAGGCACCTTCATGTGAGGTATGCCTGTAGAGAATTGGCCCAATTATTCCAACCATTAACATCGGGATATTTTAGGGATTCTAAATGTAGCTCCAGCCACACATATTGGGAAGGAAAAGGATCAGGTATTCAATTATTCTCAGTGATCCCACCAGCGAGTAGAAAGACTATTTTTATGTAAAGATATTTTTCTCTGTGTTTCAAAAATAGAAAGTGCAATGTCACTTAAGTAATGGGTGCATGGGAAGAGCCTCTCACTATGTAGCAACACCTCTCATATGGCTAGATGGATAACTACTCACCTCACAGATAGCTAGATAGATAACTACTCACTGTCTAGTGTAGCTAGCACAGTTGCTCTCACACTGGCAGGTGTAGCTTTCCAGAGAAGGGCTACAGACCCAAACTATCACAGGGTACTAGGTAGCTGTGTCTGGCAAATGTCTGGTAAACAATCAGCTCTCTGGGAGGAAAAATTATGTGTAACATACTTTTAAGTTTAATCTGCATTATTACCATTTTCTCCAGCACTTTCTCAAGTCTAACAACAAAGCATTATATCAAACCCTGATTTGTAGCATTTGCTGATTTCTAAAGTGAAATTTTCACACTGATAATTTAACAATCGCCAGTTGGAGCTGACTCCACTACATCTTGTCCTAAAGATAAACTTATTCACTACTCAAATTCTTGAGATTCCACCAATGCATTTCAATTTCCACAACCAGTCACTTACAATAATCAAACTTTTAGATCTTAAGCACAACTATTAACATAATAAAGCAAAAATAAGAATTCTATCATAGGTACTGATATTGAAGCAAAAGTATGAATGATAAATATATCACAATCCACACATTGCGTATAACATAAACTTTGGTCATACTTCCCCAATAATGTGTTCAGATTCTGAAGGGAAGTGTGCCTATGAATTTACAGAATCTGTCCAAGAGGGCATAAGTAAGGAAAATCCATGTGCCCAAAGTAACATAACTCTGGAACTATAAACTTCAGTGTCCTCTCTCTCTCTCAGGAACCTTCCACAAAAGTGCTTTGATGAACCTGGCTTCTCTGTTGATTAACTACTTCCATTGCTAAAATGAACTGATCCAAATTGTTGAATGGATGTCACAGCTCACCTAGGTGATGCGATGAATGAATTATCTGTTTCTCTGCTTCCAATGTGTTCTTGTGCTCAGGCAGACTTTACTCCTCAATAGTGACTGCAATATTTATAACTTACAGCCTCAAATTTCACATATATATATATATATATATATATATATATATATATATATATATATATATATATATATATTATCTCTCTGGGTTCAGACCCTGGAGCCTCTTTATGAACAATTTCACCTTTGCTTATAATTAGTAATGATATTCTTATCTTCTGGCTATAATCAGGCAAATTCCATTTGTCCCAAATTCATACAACAGTTCTGGTGTCTATAACTTTCCAATATATTAGACTTCGTCACCTTCAAAACCTAGAAACAATACCGAACTCCAATTATGGCCTCACTAGAGCAGAGTTCAATTGCTTCCTTTGTCCTGAGAGTTGTACTTATACATTCCAGTATTGCATTAGGTTTTGTTTGTTTGGCTGTCACATCAGATTTTCAAAAAGTAACTACTTCAGAGGAACTGTTTATCTTAGAACTCTGAGCAGTCTTAACTCAGTAACAAAACTTAAAGAAGCAATGCCTTATACTTAGAATGTCTCTCACCATTCATTTGGCCTGGGCTGTTCTTTTACTACTTAAAACATGTTGAGGATCTGGCACTAGCTCTTTTCACCCTTACATACAGAACAGCATTAAGAAAGCCTCCCTCCTAGTTTATGAAATATTTCTCATACTTTGGGCAAAGTAGAGAATGCTAGGCAGACAACAGCAAGCTATCCTCCTCCTCCCCACCCTCCTTGAGTGTGTGTGTGTATCACGTACTTAAAGTGAACCTCAGCTTTCCCTTCATCTTCAGCCTACCCCCACACTCCGTACCATGTAGGTGTTCTACCTAGGACAGCAATGCCACCACTTACTAGCAGACACTGCAAAAATTCCTGCAAAGATATCAAGTTCTTATTGATTACAAATTAAATGTAGAGTCAGTACAGTGATACAGCTGCTAATAAAACTACTGAAATATTAAATTTTATTAAATAAATGATCATTATAGACAGAGTGTTTATTATGTGCCATACAATGGGCTTAGTGCTGGGAATAAAAACACAAGAGAGCAAAAATCCCTGCCCTCAAGGAATTTATATTCTAACAGAGGAAGGCAATGCATAAAGAGAAGCTGGTAAGTTGGAGGGTGGGTGGACAGCATAGTTCTAAGGGCAGAATCCAAGGTTCTTGTAGGAAAGAAGTGAGGATGATGGCTCAAATGGAAGTGGCATGGTTTAGAGCTAGTAGCCTAGAAGTGAAAACTGTACATATATTCATCAACTGATAAATTCTTAAAGTTGTAGTGATGATGATGATACCCACATACACACACATATATTTGTGGATATATATAGGGGGTGTACATAGTGGTCTATATATATCTATATGCAGATATAGAAATATATATCTATATATCCATATAGATATAGATATAGATAATATAAAATCTAATTCAAATAAATCTTTTCTACAGCATCCACTGACAAGTCATCATCTTAGGAAGTGGAAAAGGAAGAGGCACTTATTAAGACCTACCATGTGTAAGAACCTATTCTAAGTGTTTTACAACTATCTCATTTGTTCTCATAATAATACTGCTGGGTAGGGACTGTTACTATCCTCATTTTACAGTTGAAAAAAACTGAGGCAGATGGAGGTTAAGCAACTTGTCAACACAGCTAGTAAATGTTTCAAGTTGAATTTGAGCCCAGATCTTGACTCTAAGTCCAGACCTCCATCCACTGTGCCACTTAGCTGCCCCTAGGTGGCAGTTTAGTGTAAGGACCTGATTTTCACTTTGTTTTTTAATCTTCTTATCAATGCCTCTTTTCCCCCCACATTACAATCATTTTTCAATATACTTCCTCCCCTAGATCTGTTGAACCCTCCTTTGTAACAAAGAAAAACAATTTAGCAAAACATATTGACAAAGCAAATAAGTTAATAGTGTATTTAATATTCCATACCCAGACCACAGAATTTAGAATTGAAAGGATACATTTCCTATATATCCCTCCTTTACATATCTGACAAATGAACATCCAGCTCCTACCTGAAGACCTCCAATGAGGGGGACC